AATTGAATTAAAAAATTACACAAAAAATAAGAATTTTAAATAGTTAATTTGATACTAATATCGATATATTTTTGTCAAATTTTTATGATATCTTCAAGTTTATATTTTATTCAAAAATAAAAATATCATCGTTTTTTTCAAAATTACATAAGACCATATTATAACATCGATTGGGGTAAAAAAATAAAATAAAATATTAATTCAAGATGTATATCGCTGCATTGTGCGAGTACTCTTCTAGTATACTATAACACAAATATAAAATTGAAATAAGAGTTATAGGCACTTATAGTATCCCCTAAAATTCATAAACAAAACCACCTAGGTTGTGTCACATTCCCCGCTTAAACTTTAGGAAATATAGTGGAAAATCTCATCTATTCTAGGTTTAAATCTAAAAGTCGTTAAAAACCCTTGTGTCTATGAAGGTTCACACACGGTAGTACTACTTAATGTTTAAAAAGAAAAATATGATTATTTTATCTATCAATAAGTTAATATTATTAGCTAGGTTGAATGCACCTAATTTTGTTTCTTTGCTATTTATATGCCGGAATTACGGAAGTACTAAAGTTTGCAACAATAATCGACACAAACTCTTCTTATCATCATATTTCAGATCTAGTTGTCTACGAGCTTGATCTTAATGGATTTCAGTTTTACTCTTGATAACGTTGTAGTATCTTCAGATATGTCTATTGTCCCAGCTGCATCAACTCATTTAAAAATAACGTACCAATTAATGGTTATGATTTTTAGGTTAAAAAATCTTCGTTGTAAAATGATAACAAATTCATATATACAAACAAACAATGAACACTTATTATTACTGAAATAAGATGTTGTAACCGTACAATGCAATGCAGGGTCTACGATTATTGAAAGGAAATGCAGACAGACAAACGTAGATATGCGATTAGATAATGTCGGTTGGCACCGATCAATCATCCTGAATTTGCACTTGATGGAACCAACTCAATCTTGATCTCTCCAATGGTGACTTCCTGGCACCCGTCCCTTGGTACCAGTGTCAACAAAATGTATTCATCAGCCTCGGTTTCTATGTCGTCCAACAGCTCATTCAACCCGAACTTTACCCCACTCGTCATCAACATTTTGTGCCCTCGCAAATGTGCCACCTGCGAGAAACTACCTGCAAACTCACTGTCTTGTGGACTGCATGGGGTACCGTCGTCAAGGTCATTTACAAACACATCAAACTTGACAAACTTCTCCATCTGCACACAGTCTTTATTGTAGACACGTACAAGCTCTTTGTTCTCGTCGTAAAACACGTATGATGCGTTCAGCCAATCAGGGTCTGTAGGTTCGGTGTGGTCAGGGTAATCGGGTCCCTTCAAGTCCTTCCATATTTTCCACATACGGTCGACATTGGCATGATGGGTGTAGAAAAGAGGGTCCCATCCTAATGAGTAGAAGTTCCCCATGTCCTCATTATTTGGCATTCTGGGGTTACCAACCCATATGTGCGCCGCCGTGTGAACACCGGACTCCATTGGCCCTTTAGAATTCTGTATAGAAATAGGATCATCTCCAGCTATGAACTTCCCACCAAAGAAGGTTTCTGAGTTAGGGGAGTTGGTGATCATCTGCTTATACATTAAACTCAGGTTTGAGCCTATCTGTTGTACGCAAGTAAAATCGGCACTGGCAGTGTTATTGTAGTCGATGTCGAGGATGGCTGGTGGGAGATGATCCACGTTCCGAAAAGCGTCAAAGGCAGGGTTTAGTGGTGGACTTATTGCTGGATCGTTGCTGGGCAGAGTTTTCCCTTCAAAGAATCCCGGCATACTCATGCCACTGGGATTGTCCCAGTTCCAGTAGGGTAAGCCAAAAGTTGGATCATTAATCAACTTTCCGAGTATTCTCTCGAAGAAATACAGGTACCAACGATGGAATGGAAAGAAGAGCCAGCAGTTGTGAACCTGCAGTTCCTTATCAGGGTAACCTGTAGCATATATAGAAACATATATGTATATATGCTCACCTTGAGAACAAGATTAATTGCATAATAACAATTATGCTTTATATATAAGCATCAGGTATATATATATATATGTATGCGTACCATCAGACTCTTCTTTTCTGTCATATATATATATATCAGTTGGTTTATTGACAGTTATATGGTTCTTTGATGGTGAGAACAATCCCTTCAGCCCTATATAAAACTTTTCTGGCGCCATTTTGCATYTGTCTCTATCAAGAACACGCAGAATCCTATCAGTTACCAAAGGCCATCAAATGGTAAGGAATTAAGAGTGGATCTTGAGAAAGAATGGGTGATCAATCAAACAATCAAAACCCATCTTCGTCAATCGCACAAGGTACACAATTCAAGCCCTAAATCTCTTTATATGAATTGATTCAATTCTGATGTGTTAATGGTATTCGTGAAGTAAGATTAAGTCTAACAATTGGTATCAGAGCCAATTAACCCATCTAATTGAATCGTGTAACATGAATCGCACAAGCCACTGTTCGAAAATCAAAATCGAGGGGTACTCGATTTGAACAAGTCGAAGAAGTAGCGGCACATACACATACCAAAGTAACAGCCGATCAAAACCAAAATCGATTGCATAAGAAATCGATTTCTATATTGACTAACCAAAATCGATTTCGTACACGATAGTAAAATCGATTTCATAACTCGATTAAGAGCAAAAATGATTTCTGTTACGATTTCTATATCGACCAACTAAAAATCGATTTTGTATACGATTGTAAAATCGATTTCATGACTCGATTAAAGCAAAACGATTTCTGTTATGATTAAACCAAATCGATTTCTATCCAGATTAAGTCAAAATTGATTGGCCTCTGTTTTGACCAGTTCATACTGTGGCTTAATTGAATTCATGTTTCATCAAGGAATCTTCTGTATAGTTGTATTATTTAACAATCTTGTTCAAATTGCTCTCTGGCTTGTTTTAGATTCTGTATGTAGAAGCATGAATGTTCTGATTTAGGCAGTAGATAATTCTTTTACGTATTGATTATACAAATACTTTAGATTAAGATTACACCAAGAATCCACATATCACCCAAGTGATTCTGGATTACTGTGATTCAAAGTACTATCATAATAGTCTTGAGTCACAACAAGAGGACTGCAAATTGTATAAAAATTGCAGATTCAACAGTGACTGTTTTCTTTCACATACTGCCATAGCAGTTTGATTGAAACAGACACTTATTTATATCAAAATCTTCGAATATGATATGCTTTCTCAAAAGGGAATCAAATTCGAAGTTGATATCTTCATTTATGATCAAAGTATGTTAATCTTTCATAGTTGATCATTTTATAAGTTAAACATGACTGATTGAAATGACCTGTTTTGTGATCAGGATCACCAAGCAAGACAGATAGACAACAATTTCTGTCCCATACAGCCCACTATCCTATAAGTGTCGTTAATTTTGCACCTCTAAATGGTGTAAACTATAAGAAATGGAAGGAGGACATTGAACTTATGTTAGGGATTCTAGACTATGATCATGTCCTTAAGGAAGATCCACCACCAGAACCAGCAGATAATGCACCTAAGGAGATCAAACTTAAACATCAAGAGTGGCATAAGCATAATAGAATGGCCCTGATTTATATGAAGAAATGTATAACTGATGCTGTCAAAGGAGGTATACCAGAATCAGACCTTGCTAAGGTATACTTAGCCTCAATAGCTGATAAGTACAAAGTTTCTGATAAAGCAGAAACAGGTTACCTCATGAATAAGCTTATTAGAATGAGTTTCAGTGGACAAGGAAGTATAAGAGAATACATCTTGCAAGGAATTGATACTTCTTGTAAACTTAAGGAAATGAAAATTTCCATTGATGACTCATTTCTAGTACACCTTCTCCTGAATTCTCTGCCTGACCAATATAGTCATTTAAGAAGCCTGTACAACACACAGAAAGAAAAGTGGACTCTAGATGAGATGATCACTATTTGTGTTCAAGAAKAATCAGAAGTGAAGAATAAAGGAAAAGCAATAACCATCAACCACATGTCTAAGGCTAAGTTTAAGATGAAGAAACATTTTGGTTTCCAAAAGGGAAGTTCATCTACTCCTT